GTAGTACCTCTACATATAATAATAGCACATATACCTTAGTTATGGTCTCTGTACCTTAATTAGGTACAGAGACCTTAGTATGGTTCACAGACCGAGAATCATTAGTTTATTTACGACTATTATAGGTGTTCCATATTTACCACTAATAGGTTTATAAACCATAGCTTTTTCTCAGTGTGCATTATGGGACCATTCTATAGCAAAATTCAGCTTTTCGTCCTTCAAGCTCAACTCTGCCAATAATCTCGAAAATAATTTAAAACGATTTCTTATCGCATTACCTACTCGTAAGCAATGAGGCGAATTTGAGAGCGAATTTTAGGCTGTTTTTGTGGATTTCTCATAGAGTGAGAGGAATTTCCTTGAGGATGTCAATGATACTATCTTGAATTTTAGTGTGAGGGGGGGGGGGTCGGCCCACCCCGGCCCCTGAAGATGACTGCAAAGTAGTGTGGATAGCGTACGTTCCATAAAATGAGCATCTCCACGAAGATATAAACACATTATGTCCTTAAGCATTTAATCCTACAAGTTATATCCTTTCTTGACAGAATATACATTTGAATCTCCATAACCATTCCATCGAGTTATTTCCCGCACATATAGTTCAAATACTTGGACTCAATCAATGTATAAAAGTTCCGCAAGAATCAAAAGCAATGGAAAAGTTTGCTTTGGAGTCAGATGGATTGTGCAAATTTTCCCAGAAAAGGAAAGCACGCGCCGTAGCTTTTCCAAGAAACTTTTTTCGAGTCGAAGATATGCGCGTCATAGGCTGAAAACAACTGTGTTTAATTAATGGTGAAAACATAGCTTTCACGTGTCAAACGAGTATGACACTCCGAGGCTCAAGACCTGCTTTGTGGGCTGAATAATATGAAATTTCAGCCCCGCTGATGCAAGAAACGCGGTCTTTTGAACTTCCACACTTGACGTCATCTTTAAATCACTTACAGCAATACGTATATCACGAGAGCCGTGTTTGAGAAATGATTCGGAATATTGACTTCCCGCCTCGAAACGAAACCTCGCAAAGGAGCCATCATCAACCCTAAAATCATTCAACTCAGCCAAGGGTCTCTTCAAACGTCACTGATACCACCGCCTTTGTCCCGGCGAATCATAACTCCGAGTTACTTATCGAGAAACGAGCCATTTTTAAAACGGTGCTTTCAGAGTTCACGATGCACCGCGAGAAAGCTCTGCAGGAAACACCTCTCGAGGGGACGGAGTGGGGGAGGGGGGAGGGGGTGAAACAGGCGCCATTAACGAATTCCACGCCTCCCTTCACGGGCGCCGAGTTAAAACAAAGCCAACTCCACGGTGCCGAACTTACACCAGCCATCAACGCACTGTTGCCGAGAGGCAACAACTCGGAAACCTGGAAAGCGATGGCTCCCCACCTAGATAAATGGTGACTTTTGAACCGGTGGCATCACCCTAAAAACCAATCTTACACACCCTCGACTCTTCCTGGGTCTTTACTAGTTTCTTCATCTTTTTAATATCAGAGCGAATCATCAGGAAGTGTATGCTTAGACGTAAAAAACTGATTATCGTAGGAAATTACCGGAATTACTGATTTAATTGTCATTCGAGTTTTTTTTCTTTTTCTATTTAAAAAAATCACAAGAACCCAAATTTTCTTATACTCGGTAATTATAGCCAGGGCAATGACTTCAATGTGCCTGTCCATAACTTTGACAATATCACAACATCTCAAACGTGTTTTTTTCAGCTTTTTATAACTGTATATATGTTGATTACAATATTAAAAAGAAAGAGAGGATTATAAATTATGTCAGCCTGGAACTTTGAAAAATTACTGTCATAGATTTTTTTTTTGTTTATTTGCAAGCTTAATCCACACACTGAATGAGAGTTAAAGATTTATCATATTGAGAGAAAGAAATTTTAACGAGAAATCTTTTTTTTTTTGGCCAACTTGATACAGCAAATGTATTATTATTGGTGGATTCTCTTCAAGAGTAAATGCAAAAAAAAATGTCAAAAGCAGACAACTAGTTTACAATTTAACAGTAGACAGTTAGTAGACACTTTGATAATGCACAACTACGCTACACTAATAGCGAACTTTTCAAAGAAAGTAACGACGTCGAACATTGAAATTTACGTTAGAGCAAATACACTATATCGATAAAATAATGAGATCATTTTGAGTATTTATCTCCTGAGTGCTTTCAAAAATTCAATGTGGAACCATAATTCCTCCGATTTATAAGAAACTTCACTTTTAAATTGCCAGAATCTCCAATCTCCATGAGCGCATGGACAGTAGCCCTTGGATACAACTATTCGTGCTTATAGGATGTCGAGGTTGCATACGCAAAATTTGAAGGCGCGCAGATATTTCTTCGCTTTAACCGTCACGCGCCACATCTACGTATATTCCACGCTGTTACTCACTGAGAGCATTTTACTTGTAGCTCACAGTGCGATTATTAGAACATAAATTTGACTCTCCAAAGGAATTTTGTTAGTACCGATATAGGGCAGCCTTGAGTTTCAATACCTACCTATACATAAAATATTAAAAAAAAAAAAAAAAAAAAAAAAAAAAAACAGGATTCGTTATCATATTTAAGATAAGTGCCTTTTGACGCTACTGCCGTGCTAAGTATAAACGCTGTATGAGCCGTCAGGCGTTGCCAAATTTCTTTCTATCACTCACAAATTTTCAAGAAAATTTGTGAATATTTCTCTTCCAATTTTCCCAGCATCACTCTCGTAATTAGATCTAAAATTTGAAGGATGAATATTCATAACTTTCTTTAAAAACAAATGTTTTTAAAGAAAAAATTTGGCATAATTGGAATGCTTGCAAGGCGTGTTTACTCAGCACAGCAGATTATCACGCAGTTTATTACATTAACATGTTTCTTCCAATTTTCTGCTATTTTTCTGAAGTTGGCATACTCATGTACTCTTTCCCGCTGCTGACATTAACCCGTAAGTATAGACGCAAATTTTTACGTCAAAAACAATTTATAATCAATCTTTCAATAGCTGCATTAATTTTGTTCGATTGGCTGTGTTTGACTTTTAATATACCAAAACTTTTTCCTCTCCTCACCATAAATTTCTAAACTCACAGAGAATTCAAACGCTCGCCATGGTCTATTATAATAGTGTTAGGTATTTTAGAATTCGGGCTATAAAATACGCTCTGCCTGAGTGAATTGTCTACGTATCATGCACACACAATGTGCTGTTCAGAATGAACGTGGGATTCCGACAACGTGTAGTTAAATTGCTACAACTAGGCAACACGACTTGGGAATTAATTATTACACATCTGAGCGTGTTGTATAGGGGAGGGCGCAGCCACGGAGGGAACTGCAGACTCCCAACTCTTGTTTTTTTACCCCCCGTCCCTTTGGCGAATCCCTTCTCATGAAAGGTCTATGCGACTCGGAGAGGAGGGGCGCACATATTTACGCCCTTTTTCGAGTTGGCAAAAAAGAAAGGGAGACTCCTCCCGGGCCTGAATGCGAAATTCGCCGCTCTTATGACATAAAGACGTATCTCGATCTCCACTTGAGCCCTGATTCACATATAGATTCATGCTTTCCAGAGCTCATGCGGAAATTGAGGTACGCCCTTACGTCGGAGGAGCGACGAATTGAGAGGCGGTGCCATGGCCGCAGCGTGCACTGTGTGCAAGCTCTTTCAGTGTTGCCAAACTGCGTAAAGCAATCCTACAGAATCAGTATAAGAAAATGTACATTTTTGTGTAAGAACTGGCAGCGCTGCTTTCTCGGCTCCTGACTGCAACCATTCCGACTGGCGCCACCCCCAGATCCCCAGTCTCTCGCGCATTTATTCATACATGCAGAAAACCAGCGTTGCCAGTGTTCGTTGGAAAATCGCGTAATTTCATTGGTTCGTGCCGGAAAAATTCGCAAATTGTATGGCAATTAGCAATTTGGCATAGTGAAAAAAGGAGGTGTTTGCATCTTGAGGATTGTTTACCCCGTGGCGCAGGTCGGTACAACCTGGCCAGCAATATCCGAAATTCGGAGTATGAAAAACGGACCATAACGTCCGATTTTTTTACGTGAATCAACTCATGAATTCATAATAAAATTTTAAACACTTTACACAGAATGACTTTTATCGATAAACTACACCATTTCCAAGAAAATCGATGATAACACTCGTTCGCACCGACCTACGTCATCAAAAAAGTTCAAGATGCCCGAGATGCGAACACCTCCTTTTTTTCTCTTCGGCAATTCGGCAATCGACAAACCAGAAAACACGGACTAGATTCAATGGCCGCATGCCAAGGAAACCATTTGAGAACTTCTCAATGACAGATTCAATTGATGATTGCACGATAAAGATTTTGCGGGGGTCTCCATGAGATAACTTATTTCAGGGTGGATTTTATGGAGGATGAATGCCATCGAAAATGTATGTGCGACAAGATCGCAAATTTTTAGAGACTTAATCTGTACTGGAGTGAGAATGAAAACAAATTACGTGTCTGAAAGTATACCTTGAACATTTAAACTCTTTACCGGCTCGACTCTAGAAAATCGGTTTAAAAGGGAGAGAGGACCAAAACATAAATAAATAAATACATTTAAATTACAATACAAGAAAAATTTCTTGATGAGTATGCTCAGTAAATTGCCTTTTTCCTTATCTTGGAAGAATTTTTTGCCTGCATGTTAGCTCTCTATGGTGCAGGGGGTCTATTTTCTTACAATTTTCTCAAGCTGCGTAGGTGTGTATAGTTAAAATAAAGTGTCATTTTAAGAGTAAAAATTGAATAGTGGCATGAGAATGAGATTAATGGTAAATGAATGGTATAATTCAATACCTATAACAACAACGAATTCAGTTATACGACAAGGTAAATGAGATTTGCGCCTTGTGAGTTAAGATGGCACGACTCAAAACTTTATTGCTGGGGGGAAATATTAAATAAAATTTTCACCATAACATTAAATTCTAAAAAAAATAAAATGGGATCTCTAGAATGAAAATCTGGCAAGCGATGTACTTTCGGAAAAAAAATTCAAAATGAAAATCAATAGCAGTTAAAAATTGTTTCTGAAAATGTGTTCTTTCTAGACTCAGAATGATTTTTTGGGGGATTTACTTACCGAGTAACCACGGAGCGACGCATTCGTTTTCTTTGGCGCTTTTTAGGATCGTGTCAGGCAAAGGCAAGGAATGGCGCACCATTGCACCATACAGACCATACTCTGCCATAATTGTACTCCTACCCCAGCATTTCTCCGTTTTCCGCCACTTCGCTCGCCTATTTTGAAACCAAACCTGAAACAGAAAGATTTACCCAATCAGGTACCTTGCTTTTCCTATTTTCAAGAACCTCAATGTGGATAAATATACCAATGTAGACTTGACGTATCTGGGAAAGAAATAGTTAATTATAATGCTTGTGATATGGATAGAGAGCCGGGTTACCCAAAATGGCTGCTGACTTGCTTCAAATAATGAGATTTTTTCAAACATAATCTGTTGGTAGGATGTTGTATTGCATATATTTGAAGAATAATTTGGCACAAAAATGGTGGAGACAATCATAACAATACATTATTTGAAGTTCTCCGTACCGATGTTTTTTTTTTTTAAATCATTAAGTTTCACCGCACTTAGCTGAACAAACTAACCAAGATCTGTGAGCGGTTTAATTTATTTGCAACCTGTAATTTACATGCTCCGCGAATTTCTCCTCGTTTTTTTTTTTGCCTTCAGATTCATTATATCAGCCGAGATTCTTGAACTCGAGAAAAAAATGTGCATATAACATGTTTCGATGAAACGGAACTAAAACTAATCGCTTTCAAATCAAATAGATCAACGGCGTATAGGATTTTCGGAAGAAACAAAAACTGTTTTTTATTTTACATTACGGTTTACTGACGCGCACTGAATGAAAAAAGTCAGTAAAAAAGAAATTGGGAGCGAATTTCCTCAGAATTCGGGTCGGTAGAGGAAAATATGGTCTCGTGAGCAGTTCCCAGGAACTCTTCAAAAGTACCTCATTATCTTTCGTATATTGCTCAAAGTGTGTGAGTGTATTCGTAGAAATTTTAGATCGAATAACAATTATTCTAGCAAATTAAAAAGGTAATGAAAGCGTGACCTTATTTTTGAGTTTTTTTTCTTTTTATCGTGTCGCACGAGATGGTATCAAAATTTCTACGGAGAAATTCAGATGCGTAGAAAAGGATTTTTGAATCAAGAAAATTTTCCAAATTAAAAAAAAATAGAATAGATTGAGAAGAGACCAATGAAACCTGGAAGGAAGTAGTGAGTGACACATTTGTTACACATTTGACTGTGTTGCGTGTTTTTGGTGAAACTATTTTTAAGAGCTACGCTGCAAGTGTAAAAGGAAAATTTCGACCCAGTTAAAAAGAAAAACAAAATTCTAGTCATACTGAAATTGAACCGAGAAAAAGAGGTTTTTAGTTTTATTCCTCCGTAAACTTATTGTTATAGAGGTAAAATTAGATGCCATTTTCATATACAAAATTGTTGAGCTCAAAATTACTGTGAACTCACCTACCTCCTCCTTGAAACTTATTGTAAGTCCAATTTATTATTACTAATTTAATAACCACTAAATAGTACAGTATAAAGCCTCTTATTGTACTGATGACATCCATCATTCATTCATAGAGAAAGCGTTGAAACTATTTGGCTCATATATTTTGTAACAATTCTTTCAAGAGCCTCTGTGGAGAAGTTAACCTAATACCCACTCTTGTTTATGACTTTGATTCCAGAAAAGGAGGGTATGAAAAAAGGGGAAGGAAATAATTTTTTTTTTTAAATGTCTGAACATCTTGCTTGTGAAGGAATTGTATTATTCGTAACGAGTTGAATGAGAGAATAGGAGATATTTAAAGAGAGGAAGAGAGACTTTGACTTTTGATTTGGGGGAGACTTAGAGTTGATCTCGGCCTACGATGACTCAATTGTCGACAACTTGAGGCGATGAGATACGTCAAGTTTGGATTTTGGCCGAGGGAATAGTAGCGTTGTCAACAAATTATCGTGTGTCATTACCGAAAGCGGGCATCGGGGCTTAGGGCCGACCTTCCCGAGGAAATTAGCGCTGCTGACCTGTCAGGGCCTATTCGACCTGTCATTTGTCAGTATGTTATTGCCGACAGAATTTTGATGGAGGTTGTCGGTTGGTAATGTCTAATATGATTTTTAGCGTTTCGATGGTGGATCCTTTTTGCTATGAGGTGCGATCGTCGATACCTACATGTTGCACTTTCAAGGGCAATTTTCTTAGATGCAAATACCACATATTTTTTTTATGTGACGAAAAGACTCGGAAAATTTTTGGACTCCCTTCATCCTTTTTTCGAGTCACCTTATTTCGAATAGCCGAGGTTATTTCACCGTTTCAGGACTCACTATTTGAAACAGATCAGTCGCAAAAGTTATTGAATTATAATTTGGTTATTAAATTACACAAATCCACAAGAAATAGTTAAACTACCTGAGTGATATGATTCTACTTTCAATATTTCAACCGAAATATCGCCTTTTCGAAAATTGTAGTATGACGTGCGGTGCAAATCGACGTGTCTCCTACTGTTAAAGCGTTATTCAAATATGCAATCATTATCACCAGTTGCATGGTAAAAATCTCCGATAAACTCAGAAAGAAGGTTTCTTCCTTTCGGTTTGATATGTAATAGCACGAAAGATGACGTCATAACGCCAATTGCCGAATTTCAAGGGGTAATACCTCTATTCATATTAAAAGTAGAATAGATTTTCAAACTCTTGTGACTTCGGGACGATCTCTGAGATTCAATTATCAAAAAATGATTCAATAATTGACCAGCGAAACGATCCATTTATATCGGGATCAATCCAGTCATAAGCGGTCTATTCTTATTATCAACACGAAATGAAAAACTCGAAAAAAATAGGTAGGTGTCACTTACTTTTTCTCTCTTTAACTGGAGGTAATTTCACGCAATCGCAGTATCAAGCCACAGAGATGATTATCAAACTTTTTATTGTATGTGTGCAGCTTTCCCGCTATGGTTTTGAACAGAGGTGCCTCAATTCAGTCTTCATCTATTAGCCTATTACTAAATAAGCAAAAAATGTCTGAATTTTTTCTCGCTTCTACTCATTCGAGAGGTACGAAATGAAAGGGAACAACACCAGTTTGCACCAGAGCAAACCATCGTTAACAGGCCGGCGATCTCCAAATTAGGACAAATAGTCAAATGAGCCGAGATCAGCGGGAGGGGTGATTACTTGTTTTGCGGGTAGTATCCTTTAACCGCCAGGCGCATTACTCTTACTCGTCGCCACGACGGGCTACGAGAGATTCTCTCGGGCGGTTATTGCTCGCTCAGGTAGACGCACGCACGGCCCGTCGGCGCGTGGATGGGTGGTCAAAGGCGTGTTGCGGGTTGCGCTTCATTGCCTTCGAAGGCGCGACCAAGTCCTCTCTTAGACGTTGTCGAGTCGCGGAAAAAATACGGTATGAAAGGGGTGAAAAAACATGTTCTCATGTTGGAGGGGTCAATTTGGGACTCATTTTACAGCATTTGAAATGAATATGTGAAAAGGAAAAAGCCGTTCATGTAATCTTATTTTTATTTTTTCTACAAGCTTCGATATTTTCTCAAGACGCAAAGTAATTCAATGCATACCCCACATGTATTTTAATAACAATACATTTTGCTCGATGAAAAAAATAAAACAGAGCTGGAAATGCAATGTGTGTCAGTGCCACTGTCCGATGCATGTGCGTGATACGGATTTTTGAAAAGTTTTCTCGAATCCTAAACTTTAACCGCCTCAAAATGAGTAGCCTCAGGGGTGGTTATTATTTATTTGGTGTAAGGGGTTGGGAAATAGCATTCTCTTGGACACGCAAATATTGGTTTTTTGGATGGAAGACTGCAAGAAGAGAAAAAATCTGACATCTCTTTGGCATGTGGGTCATCAAGAATTTTGGTCTGACTCTGTGGTAATTTTTTGGTAATCTTCAATCCGTCGTACCTCTTCTGTCAATACCTCTTAAAATGGAAGTGAACTTAAATAAAAGCACTAAATTGGGAGATATTATTCGCAGATAGGTGATAGCTCATTTGATTATTTCGAGAATAGTAGCAAAGTGTAGAAATTATGCAGCAGTCTAGAGCGGCCCCTTTGTTGCAGCTTTGAATTCATGAAAACTAGGCAACAAGGTGAGCCTTTTCATTAATTAAATTTTTAAAGTCTTTAGTAAGTGTTTTATAAGCATTTATCCGCAGTAGACTGTGAACAGGCTCTAAAAATATGATCACGATCTCTTTATTAGTCTTTGTGCAGAAAGTTTTCCTCCCTTTGATGACAGTGTTAAAGGACAGGAAAAGGTCCTGTAGATGTTTCTGAAAGCAAAACATCACTTGGAAGCTTTCCTCATAGTTTAATTATCTCTTATAACATGTGCAATATGAGAGCAAAAAGTATTTAATTTACAATTTTTAAACTTGAAACTGAGAGTTTATAAATGAATCAATTTTTTTCTTAAAAAACATAGAGAAAAAATCAATTTACAAGAATAATCTCCTGGAAATGAGTTTGCACAGTGACATAAGTTCCTGAAATACTCTGTTCCTCTGAACTCATATTTTTTACCTTGAGGTAAAAACCACACAGTAAACAGTTTGATTCATACTCTCGTTACAGAGAGAACCAGATGCTGAAGTAGTTAATACATTAATTTTATTTTGGGTTGCAATTTTGCTTACGTTGCTGATACCTTTATAACCTCTGGAGAGTACTTGGTTACGAAATTTCCTGACAAGCTATCATATAAATTCAGCAAATTGTAATTGGATTACGCAAAGATTTTGTTTTTGCCTCGTTATACCCTGTATAAATTTCGTGTGCAAATATAGAGGCTCAAGACTCATAACATAAGATGAACCAATATATCTTTTACCAATTCCCTCCAAAAATGAAGACAACACTTGGTATTACGGTCAAATTTACCATAACGTACGTGCACGAAACAAGCGCGAATGATACGTCTACTATACTTCCTTAGTCGCATGTTCCGAACACCTTTTTTCAGTGTAGCATGTAAATCGGAGATCCACTTCACGATTGACAGAAACATTCAGCACGCACTCCTGCGAGACAGTTCTTAGTGAGGTGGCTTTAACCTAGTTTTTCTCGCCATTTTCTATCTCTTCCCCGTTTACAACACTAAGGAACATTGTAAAATAATTCTCCTAGCGGCGTAGCGCTCGGTACACCGAGGTTATAAAATATTAACG